ATATATATATATATAGAATAATTATAAATATATATGTAGATATTTTTTTATATCATATATAATATTATATTGCATTTGTTGGCATTTTTTGTAAAAAAAAAAAAAGACTGTTTTGTAGTTGAAAATGAATTAATCCATTTTATATTCTTTCTTATGAAAAAATTTGTTTCAGTTTTCAAACAACTTTTAGAAATGAATTAAGTTTGAAACCTAAGATTGTATTGTAATGACATCAATTTTATTATAATTTGCTTTTAAACTCATTTTTCTAACTACAAAAGTTAATTCATTTTAAAATATATTCTCCAGCTCAAATGAAAAGTTTAGTGCTCATCTTATATTCCAATTAGATGAATTTGCATATGAAAATAATGTTCAATTAGGTAAATATGTTAATAATTTCAATTTATTATTATATTCATAATTTTTAATGTTTTTTTCAATGTAAGGTAAAGAAAATTTAAATGTTCTAATTTGTTAAATTAACATAGCAGGATTGTTGTTTAAGTTAATTTCTCTATATTATATTGAATTTTTAAATTGAATTTTTCTTGTTATTGAAAAAAAGGCAATAATTTTTAATAAATGTCAATGTTCAAACATTGGATTAAAATACACTACAGAATCTAGGGATATGTTATCATCTTGAACCAAGTACCATATATCTGTAAATTATATGTAAGAGTTATTAATAATATTTTATTCTAGAGACAATATTGATTTTGTTGAAAGATAAACCAGAATTTGTTGATATCTGTATTAAATGATATGTATTTAAGTAAATGAAACTTTATTTTCTAAATATAGTGAACCTTGATTTTTTTTTCTTTTATCTATTGTTTTCCTGGAAATATTCAATTTTTAGGGTCTCTAAACAAATCCTATCTAAAACATGGAAATTAAACACATCAGTTCATCAAATTTACGATTTTCTTGTTTATATTGGTTAGACTTTTTAATCCTGAAAAATGTTAATACCAGAGTCATTGTTTTTAAGAAAGAGCAACACCACTCAAATGTTAGTACACATCAATACTAGTAACAATGGTTGATGTTTCTGGAACATGATGTAGTAGGTAGTGGTTTAGATGATGTACTGTACATTTAAATGTGTAAGCTTGCAAGTGTTCTATCTTTCAAACAATATACTGGAATGATGGATGTGATGACGATGAAGAAGCCAAGCTCGAACCAGTGCCAAGTTTTATCAAAGCACTTTAAACAGTTATGTCTATGAGAGCATTTTTTATATGCTCACAACATCATTGAAAGAGACCAAGCAAACATTGTGAATATTGAAAGTTTAACTAATCAGTTTATTTATATGGAGTGTCACATTCCCTGAATTAGTATAAAAATGATTTTTTTGGTAGAATTATAAAATATGATGGTATCATCATTAATGCAAAAACAACTTCAAGTTCTCTAAAAATATAACAAATAATAATCTGCTTTACTGGAGTTCACTTTGACAAATTATTAAAGTGAACTTTACTAAAGCAGATATATCTTGATCAAGAAAATTTCTACATTATAAATTATTTACAGAGAAATATAATACAGTAGAGCGTTGATTTTCCGAAAGTCAATAATCCGAAACGTTAATCATCCAAAAGAATTCCAGTCGGCAAATTTAAATTTTCGCCAGTGCTGTGGCGCTTCAATCTTTGGCTATGTCTTGGGCTACTCAAATATTTTACGTTTTTGATACTAAATTAACATCTGAAGTATAATTTTTTATTATTTTTATATTTTTCAATATATTTATTTTGTTTGTACAAAATAAAAAAATAATTTTTAATGATACAATAGTCTTTGCTAAGCTTAACATCAACGAAAATTCAACGCAAAGTGACACGCAACGGAGAAAAATTTCGACATCGTTAAACTATTTTTTCGTACGTAAATCAGTTATCCGAAATATCAGTTATCCGGACAACCCCAGTCCCCAATTGATTCGGAAAATCGACACTCTACTGTATTAAATATAATTGGAACTATTATAAAGTAAAATTGTCACATTTAGCATTTGTTGGAGAACATAAAATACAAGTCATTTTAATTTTACAATTTGGACTTAAAATGAATTGCTTGAGTGCATATTAAATACAGAAAAGTACTTTTTGTAATGATACATAATTAACACAATTTACAGAGTATCAAAAGTTTTACATTAATTTTTCTTGTAATAGTTTCAGAATAGATAAACAATAATTTTTATTATCTACTTGTATTTTTTTAGGATACTTTGTGAATTACATTTGTAATGAACTAGAAAACCCAACACAACCTAATGAAATTGAAATGGTCAAGAAGCCTTCAAAAGAGGAATTGAATATGCTTTTTGTTAAAAATGAGAAAGAAAATATAACATTATTTTGTGATAAAGGTAATTTGTTAATATTAGCGTTTAATTTTGGCTTTTTCAGTGTTAAGATTATTGAAAAACCTGCATCAATGAACATATTGTAAATATTGATTTTGTGCATTAAATGTGCAAATAATAATTATTTTCCAGACATGTTACAGTATACATAAGATTCACAAAAGATACACATACTCCAAGCATGAACCTGTTTTTGCTGTTTGCATCAAACTTTCAGAAAAAATACTGTATGCATGTTATTGAACACAAAACACATTTGCTAGCTCTAATGAAACAATGGTTGATCAGCACAATACAATGTAGACTATGTATATTTTACTAAATTACACTGTCTAGGAGTCTGAAGTCCTTCTAACTATTCTGATTTGTGGAATGTTAGCATGCTGGATCATCAGCAGACAACTCCAGATTGTCAGTTATCAGAGATTTTTCAGAAGGTACCAGATTACCGAACATTCTGGATTACTGAGTGTTGAGTTAAATTTTCACTACTACTGTATTATTGTTATACCATTCCATTTAAATATCAGTTTGATCTTTTTTAAAGTTTGTTTTTATTAGTTCAAATACCTATTAATATAATAATTTAACAAGTCTGCAAGTTAACAAATTCAATGCCATTATCTGTTTAAAAATTCTAGCAAGAACCATTATGATTCAATTTTTAATTAAATAATTTTAATATGATGATACTAAAGCAATTGTTCTTAACCGAAATTTCACAAAATTTTCCAGTAAGTACTGTAAGCTCTTTAGAAAAAATTTCTGTATCATAATACAGTATAATTAATATAAAGATAAAAACATGTAAATAATTATAAACCAATGATTCATTAGTATGACTTATTACAAAATTATTTTATATTGTTAAATTGACCTCACTGACTGACGTGAAATGTTTGAATACACCAATCTTAAAATGCAATAAAAGCTTTACTAACTAGAGCATTTTCGATCATTTTTAATGACCTTCCTCAAATAGAATACATAACAAAATGCCAAACAAAAGTTTAAATTCAAACATTCTATTGGGTTGTTCAGAAAGTAATTTCGTTTTTTTTTTCCTTGGAAAAAACACAATATTTTTATAATAAATAAATATTTTATTGAATTATATATTGACCATATTGGTCAAATANATCCCATGTTTATTCAAAACCATCCATAATTGTTGAAGATAGTGATACTCATAGTTGAAGCTGATGTCTCAACCTCTCTCCAAACAGATATTTTTGATATAGTCTTTCACAACATGAATAGCAAGAGTTCAAAATTAAGGGAATTTTACCAGAATATTTTGAAAATTGTTTATTATATTGTATTATAAACTTTGTAAGTTTGTGTAATGTATTTGCCAGAGATTGTCAGTTGTTCAATATAGAGATAAGATTACTATAGGAAGAATTCACAATTAGGAAATTTCCTATAGTTTTATTCAAATAAGTTTTTAATTTGATTATACAAATAATTTTAATGCCCATTTAAAAAATTTAATAACTGATTATTTTAATTTATTTGTTGCTGGATATTAAGCTAAAATTTGCTAAGGTGAAAAAGTTGTTTGATAAAGATTATAGTAAATACTATCTGAAATATATAATTTGATATCATATGATCTTTGAGAGGAAGTAAATTAAAAATCTATAATTATTATTTTATGAATTCTTATTGATGAGAAAAGATGCCAAAAAATATTTCTAGTAGTGTGTCTGAGTTAAATCAAAGATAAGAAAATATATCATGCCATAAGTGGGGAAAAAATAGATATAATTGCAAGAATCCTCAAGTATTAGATCAGACTATTTACACTGTACTGTACATGTAAATGAGAATATAAAGTATCTACCAAATTTTGATTTGTACTTCAACATATATGGACACTTTAATATATTTTTGTTACAATTAACGTTGTCTTTTTTAATATAACCATTCATCTTTTATTGCAATGAAAATAGTATTATATATTTTTAAGGTTAAATNTGGCTTCAACTGGCCATCCAGAACATGGTGCATCTTCAATATTGAAATTGCCAGAACAAAATTTTGTAAACCAGTTTTGGCACTGTCATTCTATCAATACATCTTCTCCATACACATCACACAATTTTTTTCTCGCTTGAACAGCATTCTTACCTTTTCAGTAAGAAAAGAGCAAAATATGCCGAAAATGCTGCTTTTGATCTTCCATATTTGATGGGACACAAAAAATAAACAATTGCACGAAATCAAACAAAATTTTTTACAAATAAGCCTTAAAATGCTAGCTGTCAAAATATATAATGATAATACGGTTTAGAATTAAAATAGCGAGAAAAATACAACTAATCCGTCTAGTGGTAAAAAAAAAAGAAATTATTTTCCGAACAACCCAATAGAATATAAAATTAAAACATGGCAATCAAACCGTTAACAAATAATAAAAAAAAGAAATGAATGCATAACTTTAAACTAGTTAAAAAATAATAACATATGAACAGTTATTTATTGTGACATCGTCATAATGCTGGCTGCAATTTTTAATTTATTTAACTTAAAATATATGCTCTCCATCTCAAATTAGTACTGGCCAAATTAGTACTACTCAAACTAATTTGAGTAAATTAATACTCAAATTAGTGTCTTGCCCCTGTACTGTACATCATACTTTTCCTTTAACAATAGAGTCATGCCAGTCATCTATTAACTGCTTTCAGGGGAAAAGTTTTGAATTGAAATAACATGACTTTTGGTTTGCATCGGAAGTTTGTTTATAGTTAATTGGGAGCCTCCTGCCTCTATAGTTTCCATATCTAATCTCAGATTTCATGTAATTAAGTCTGTTGTCAAGATTAAGGAAAGACAGATGGATGACAGTGAGAATTTATAGGTCTATAATTCTTTCAAATTGCAGCCCAAAAAGACTGCAATTTGAAAAAAGTAAAGTATAATAAATACCAAGAATAAACAGATAAATACATAAATAAATAAAAAATATAACAGTCCATGCCATAGTCATCATAGGGGTATCCAAAAAAGTGGGGTGTGGATGTGTTGGGGACACGGCCATGTGTTTTACGTGAATATTTGTATGTTAACGGGTAATATTTTTACGTTCCCAGCACCGCTTCACTCTATCATATGATGTTTTATGGGTATCAATGGCTTGCTCAACCGTATACAATTTCTATATTTTTATTTGGCTTTTCAATGAGTATAGGCTGACATTGTATTGAGTTTTCTTAATTTTTAACTTTAACACCATATATCAGGCATGGCCAACATACAGCCCGCGGGCCAGATGTGGTCCGTCTAATGAATTTATGTGGCCTGCGATCTCAATCTTTCAATATTAGCTACTCAAGTCCAAATAGCTCGATGAAAAATTCTGATGGCTAAAACAAAAAATAAAAAATAAAAAGGTCAACAACTCACTATGCGTTTAGAGTTAACCCTCCATAACAAATCTTAAGTACAGCCTAGAATGTTGATAAAGCATGATAATGTGAAAAGTGTATTGTAATCTCTATCTACAATTTAGTCTCTGCGGGGTCTGACACCACAATGAGATCTCGCATCATCTCAGAATCTTCCTATGGCAGCCTCTGGTTCGGCCCGTGGAAAAAGTTTTCTTTTCAATTTGGCCCAGGGGCAAAAACTGTTGTCCACCCTTGTCATATATATTCACCTTAACTATTCCACACTAATGTTTTGTATACGCAATCGATAAATATTGACGAGAGCTGTAAATTGAAACTCAAATGAGCATCGTAGCTTCTCCAAGTCAAAATGTATACTAAACAGAAAGTATCAATATGTGATGTGGCAACCTCAAAATGGCAACACTTCCCCCTCTACCACACACGATGTGTGACAGTTCCCACTCAACGTAATAAATTCTTTGATCCTTTAACTATCAAGTGGTGTAATTAAATTTTGGATATAGATGATAGATATGTAGCTGCAATGCCAAACTGTATCCCCCGATTTTGTTATCAGTTTTCTGAATTGCCTCCCACTACAGAAGCAAATTTAAAGACATATTCATGTCAAAAGGACTTCCACACTGCTGAAAGAGAGTTAATGTCCCTGAAGTTGACAGATCGTCCATGATACAACTCTTTGAAAATATGAAAGACCTCTGCATGTTATATGTGTCAGCAGCTCCCCATATTTTGGATAGTTCTAGCTTGGTTCATTCCACATTTGTATAACCATTATTAGCAATAGCATATGCTGTTAAAGCTGGGTTAGATTTTCTGATGCCATCCAGGTGCTCTTGTAAATCCTGTTGAAGGGATCTTAAATGCCTCAAATTGTTATTGGGAGATGAGGGAAGACCAATCAGAATGAGGAATAGAGGCAACAAATACTTTAAAAACTTATGTTTCAAGGACAATGTTTTTTGCTCCAAAAATTTATTCTTCCTCCAAGATCCACTGTTCATTCTCCAAGTTCCATTATTCTATCTCCCAGATCCATTCTTTCTCCAAGATCTGTTTGATCTGAACTTACCAGTGTTTCAGAGGCCATTGATCCTGCAGAAGACCATCAACAAGGGACTGACAAGGGAACTGTCGGAGTGTCTTCTAATAAATTTTAATAAAATTTAGTTAATAACTACAGTCGACCCCCCTATAAGATATAGATACGTTCCATTCTTTAGGAATCCGATTTCTTACGAGTTGTTCCAATCACAGCCCGACACGTGTCAAGTTTACGGACTACGGCTGATTGAAAGGTTTTCTTCCATAAAATTAATCGATTCTAGACTAATCCGACTCAACATTTCCAAAATACGTATATTTTTTTTGGAAATAATCCGTATAAACTATGCTATAAACAAAAAATTGTAGGATTACTTACCGAGTGTCACCATTCGACATCGCCATTGCTCAACATTGTTTTCGTCGCGGAACAGCTCAGCAAAG